AGAATGTTATGAATTATTTTGAGTTGAAATTCTCTGAAAAGAGTGACAATTTTGATACAAAAAGGTACATGGTAGAATGGAAATCCAGTGCGAGATATTCATTGATACAGTAAAAGTGATATCAGTTTGTAGTTCACAATACTCTTAGCCACAGTTCTTGTAGTACACTTTTGTAAATCAACCGATGTATTACCATGTTTAAGTCTAACTGGTTTATCCAAATCAGAGTAAGGTGCGATTGCATGAGGCCATATCATTTTAGAAAGCATGACACGTGTACTCTTTTGCTCAGAATCTCCTCCCATCCCAGTAGTTTTTCAGTTTCCCCATATATTTGTTTAACAAACTAAACTAGAATGAACAACATTGGTGAAATACAGTCACTCTGCCTTACCCCCGATGCAAAGCAAAGTATCCAGTACTAAAGCCCTTTTTCATAACACAGCTGGTAATATTTGTATTAAGTGTTTTGATCCAGTGAATGCCTCCAGTGTCCTGATTTCCACACCAAGGAGTCAAAGGCCTTTTCAAAATCAATCAGTAGAATGCCGGACAAATTTAGTTTGTCTGTGGATCCCATCACACATACTATTAGTCTGACTACGTCTCTGTTTTCTCAAAGGCCAACTGACTCTCGTAATAGTAGACGATAACACCCTCCCTTTCCATGTGTTTGGCAAGACTTTTTGTCCTAATTAGTCCCCGTTTGGACGAAGTCCGAAAACGGGGACTTATAGTTCGGTCTCCGTCCGTGCGTCCGTCCAGAGTCATATCTCAGAATCCCTTGGATCGATTCCGTTCATTCTTTGCATGTGCCAAGTACTTTATCTGGGACATATGCACATGCAGTGGTTTAGCGATTCGATTCAACATGGCCGACTGGCAGCCATCTTGTTTTCTGAAAATGTTGTATTTTGGACATGCTTTGTCAGTTGTCATTCAAACTTGGTACATAGATTATACATGTTAGGTTACATGTCCAGTACAATTTATTTCGCAATTGAATCAAAGATGGTCGACTGGCAGGCATCTTGTTTGTTTTTTTTTATGTGGTATCTTGGACATGCTCTCTCAGTTTTCATTCAAATTTGGCACATACATGTACTTTATACATGTTAGAATGCATGTCCATGACAATTTGTTTCAAAATCTGTTCAAGGATGGCCGATTGAGAGCCATCTGACTTTTTGGCTTTCCACAATTTATGTACCATTTTCATTCGTATTTGGCACATACATCATACATATCAGTGTGTTTCATAATCAGATAAAAGATGGCCGAATGTTTTTATTTTTGGCCATATTACTACAACACTGAATACGTGCTTTGATGTAAATAAACAATCTGTTGTATACGCCACTTGGAACTCAAGTTTCAAGGACATGCTCGCGACAACCCCTCCGCTTTAATTTGACGAGCACAAAAAGAACTTTCAAAAATTTAACAGGGACTGTGTCATTTTCAATGACTTGTTTTATAGTCAATATTAAACATAGTAAACATATTGGCCTCCAGTTTTTAATAAATCTTCTATCTTTTCTTTAACAGGGTTATTATCCCTTGCCTCTGAAATGTTGAGAACTCGTCCTTCTAAAATGCATAGTTTATAGAGTTTACCACATGGGTACCGACAAATGTCCAAAACAATTTGTAAAAATCAGCTGATATGTCATCATTGCTTTGGGTTTTGTTTGTTGGAAGTGATTTTAGAGCACTGTATGCCTCCTCCAATTAAATAGAGCCTTCACAGGTTTTGCTTTGTTTCTTGTCAACTTTGTAATATTTGTTAAACATCAAGTTTCCGCATTGCTGTTAGTTTCTTTCAAATATGTTAAATAAAAATTTTCATAGAATGATTTAATTTCACGATTGACCTATGTGTATATCTGATGACATTGCCACTGGTGTTAATAATTTAATAATATTGAAACTCTCTTCTGTTTAATTCTACATTTAATGCAACGTTATGGTCTCCACCCACACGATTTGGGCATCTGAATTGGAGGTGTTTTGTTTTATTGTTTTGATTATGTCTTTAAGAAAGGCCACCTACTTATTTTGGGCATAGGAATTAACTAGAATAAGACGTTTATCGGCTACCTGATCAATGATCAAAAATCTTCCCTCTTCATCTTGGTTAATTTCAAACTCAACATTTCTAAAAAATTTAAGAAACCCTCTACTATTATTTTGACAACGTGCCTTTCCCAATATTTCCTATTTTTTTGGGCTACTGTGAGTTTCCTGAATAATAATGATATTAGCATTTTGTAGTTACCCAGCCCCTTACATTCAAAGATAAGATTTTTAGTTCGCATAATAATATTGTATAGTTTTCATTATCTAATAATAAGACCCATGTTTTCACTCTAATTTGAACTCCGGTTTTGCATGAATACAGATAACACAATCACAAAAAACGCAAACACGCAAAAAACCACACAAAAAAAATCTCATATTTAGAGACTGACGACCCCGGGAGGCCAGTATCCAAAAAGAGAGCAGCGAAAATCACACGAATGCGGTTAAGCATGTTGACAAAGTCACGAGACTACTTCTGGCCAATCACCTTCAAATGAAAAGTATGTTGCGAAAGAAATCGTTACTCACCATCCCCCACTGTGCTGATAGAAACCCTGATGAATAAATTACAAAATACAAACAACCATCGTTCATAAAATGAAAAATACAGTAAAGTGGTAAAATCCATGTAATAAATCCCTGTAATACAGACAGACATCTTCACTTTAAAAGCTTACAGGAGTTCATAATACCATAAGGTGTTGTTCTACCCGTTGTTGCCCGAGTGAAGACAATCATGAATGTTACAAATACATCGTTCAACAGGCGGTATAGAAACTTGGCGATCACTGGTCAGGGTCTTTTCTGTTTATTATCAATTTTGCGCGGCCATCGGTGGGCGTTTTCCACTGAGAGAGATTCCAGTCCACACCAATTTTTCCGAACAAGCTCTTGCACCCTATCCAACTGTTTGCCCTCTCCATCTTTGGGGGTTCCGTAAAAGCAAAGGTTGTTCCCATGTTAGTATCTCAACACCTTGATATTTGGATATTTTCTTTTTGGATTTTGCTGTCGTCTCTACAAAGCAGTTGTAACTCGTCTTGCAGTGTATCGACTTCCCGTGGAATTTCTCGAACGTCTGCACTGTTTTGAATAACAGCCTCGTCCAGATCTCGCTGTTTCTGTTCAGCGGATTTCATTCTCTGTACTAATTTGGCCAGATCTCTGAATCCCTCCTCTACGGTATTCAGGTCTCGAAACCCATCTTGCACAATCTTTGTTAGATTTTCTATCGGTCACACATTACTTTAAGCCATTGCATCGTCGATTGATTTGTCACTTGGTTTGTGGTTGGAATTGCCATGATCCCCTGGTTCATCTACTGTAGTGAAGCTTGTAATCTTCTATTGATTAATACCTTTCTTTACTCTGTCACGTTATTTCCTTCCACTTGCCATATTCAATCCATATATATTTAACAGTATTTTGACAAGGTCAATCACTCATAATCACGGTGATAAAATTTCGGTGAGGTTCTAGGAGCGGCGACAAAAAACTCGGTTCACATTGTTGTCATACGTGGCCCTTACGAACACTCTTACTATTATTGTCAACGAGTATAGACATTGCATCTGCGACGTTCTTTGACCCAGATATGTATTCCACAGTAAAGTTGTTTTGCTGTAAACGAAGAACTCAACGTTTAATTGGTTTGATATTTTTGACCTCTGTGAATATATATGTGAATATGTCAAAACCACACTGGTATAAATTGAATCTCTCACAAACCCAATCTATTGGAAAGGGATTTCTCTCTGTTCGTGGGTACCACCTTTCTATGTTTGAAAGACTTCTACCGGTGTATTTTTATCAAGATTGCACCTCATACTAGCATCTGTAATCACTCTAGTCATTCTGATCCAAGTAGGCTACTTTGCAGAGTGGATTGGCAACTGTGGCCAGGCTTGTTATATGGGCAGAAGAATTTACAAATACTAAGAAACTTCTTCCTTCTGTTGATTTCTCTGTTTTTTTCCGTAGTAGGACGGGTACCATGCCTGGTTAGCATAGTTCCGATGAATTTTCGAAATTCGAAATACCCATTTCTCAGCATTTCTTCAAAGCTTTTAAGAACAATTAATCGTTGATCATGGGTAGTCGTAGTCGTGTCTTAATTTCTCTGTCCACGTATGTATATATATATATATATATATATATATATATATATATATATATATATGGCTCCAACACACCCGTTCAATACTTGTTGATGTGTCAGTACAGTTCAGAATTAATGTCAGGCAAACTGCTATGTGTAGCGAATGTTGTAATATGATTCCTCCAACTCGATCTGATGAAAACCCCACTCAAGGTCTAACTTTGTGAATACTGGGATTTTGGTTCATGCTTTCTAATATTTCATCTACAGTAGGTAATGGATGTCTCTCTCTGACTACCGCCTGATTTGCCTGGCGCATAGCTACCATAGTCTGACCATCTCCCGATTGTTTTGGCACAACTACAACTGGACTGAACATGGTGTAGGCCCATTCACTTTTATCATCGCACGTTTTTTTCACTGCTCGGATACTGAGTGGCCAACAGATTTCGTCGTGAGAATTCCCTGGTTGACAACGGCGCTGATATACTCAGTGTAAACATGTCAATCTCCACAAATCAGCGCTTGTCTTTGATATGTTATCATTTGTTTCGGGGGGTCGCCATCAACTGAAATGTGCAAATAATCGGAAAGGCCCCCTAGCGAATCAATAAAATGAAAGGTTTCACAATGAAAATAGGATTTCAACATTTTATTAAAACACAATGTACAATGTAGTAACCACAGGCATAACTTCTATAATCACAGCTACAATCTAAATGTTGACGATTTACCTCCAATACATCAATTGAAATCACGTTAGAAACCAAAATTCTATAATATGATCTTTATTCGGATGGTGACATCAGGATAACGAAGCATGGAGTACAAAAGTTTTATCTGGGCGTTGGCCAAACGTCCAAGCCCAGAGAGCAAACAAGTGGACCAGGTCCGGTATGTCTCTCTATTTTAATCTGTCCAAAGTAACATGTCTTTTTATAAGGTAAATCACGTGATCCAAATTGATACATCACATTACTCTTTTATGATAGGACAGTGATTCAATACACTCGCATAAGTTTCCCGAAAATACGTTGAATAAAAATACAAAAGTGATTTTAGTACCTCCACATCGTGGTTAAATGCTTTACAGGCTGATTTGTCACAGGTGATAATGTCTTACGAATTATATTAGTACACATTGTGCCATACACTGTCAGCTGCCCATATACCACCTACTTGCTAAAAGCGACACGGATATTGTTTTAGAAACCACGCTTGTTGATAGCACTGTGAAGATACGCTTGATATTGTTTCAATACAAGCGTCACCCATGGGAATCCTGACTACGCCCATGAGCGATATGACATGGCCGTCATTAACCACGGACCATGGTCACATATTTAATTATCTATTTCAGATGTTTCTGTGCCGTATTTGGTGCCATGGTCCTCGTAGGTACAATATATGATATATATATTAAAATTAAACGGCATAATTCCGGTAACAGAGCTGCACGTCAAGGTACTTTACATAGAGTAAATTTTGTTCGTAGTTTTTTTAAATAAAACAAACACGAAAAACAAACGCAAAGCTACTTACTATATAGTAAGACAATAGTGTATACATGTAGGTATCGTGTTTCACAATATATATATATATAGATATATCACTAGATATAATTATTAGCTTATATCGTATATCACATTTGTAGGTCAACATTAACAGTACGTAAGCAAATACTAGTAGTGTTATAACATATAATAACAACATTTTCAAAGTACTGTCTGGAGAACTTCATTGGACGACACTGGTATTAAACATAGTAAAACGGGACCTGACTGAAAATTGGAACTACAAGTACTTGCCTGCACTTTCCAACAAAAGATGTCAAGTTGTCGTCGAATGAATCAATCTGTTGTGTACTGGAATGATAATGTATATGGTTTTCATTTTATAAGGGTATATCCATCAGTTCATCTTGGCGTGTTCGTTCCTGGAAAATGGTCGTAAGATTCTGTCAGCCAAAGTAACCTCTCCATATCTGCTGTGTTTGAACGGAATACGTGTACTCAGTTTTTCATGGGTGTTCATTGGTCATATATTTACGGCACTGGTGAATGTTACCGGTACGTAAATATATATATACATATAATGTTTTACAAAATTACGCTATTTTGAGTGAACTGTAAATCGAAAGAACAGACAAACACTTTATTAAAAATTTCTATGCTGTGCTTGTAGTATAAATCCGAAATGTTAACATCAAAAAGGCAATAGGATTTGAAGTTTTCTTTTTGGCTTCAAAAAGTCATGAACAGAAAATATTGGTACGTACACATGCTATCAAACCGATACTGTTTTGTTTTCCGCTAGACTAACTTTTTTATTTCACAGTATGTTATTGTTCCTATAAAGATTAAGACATTAGTTTAGTAACAATAATTTAAACAAACTTCGATTTTTGTTGTTTTTTTGGAACAGAGAACTTCAATTATTTACTCAACAGCTTCAAAGGATTTTGGTATCAAGTGATATGGAATGCAACGTATTCTGTGGACTCCTTCTTTTATTTAAGGTTGGTAAATTGTGTATCTTTATATCGAAAATCAAATGTGGAAAACTGCACGATTAATCATATACAATATAGAAGTTTATATATAGATGTAAAAGTCGATCACAAATGTGAGATGTTAGTCCTAGTTGCTGCCTTACCACAGCAACGTAAGCTTATTTTACCAGCTCCGTCGAGAGACAAGAGTCAGTTGCCGCAAATAGGCCGTGGTTTACGACAATAAAGAGGATGAATATTTTAACCCTAAAGGCACTAGTACACTCTAACTAGAATACATAGGGTCGTCATTTACCACGATGGAATAGCACAATAAATACGACTGTCAAATAAAACAAATTATTTGCAATAAAAAATAGAATACCAATTATAGTTGTACGAAAACGTTTGGAAGCCATTTATCATGGGTTGATCTCGGTTCTTTTATACATAAAGGTAAAAACAAAGAAATATTTCAACTGTCCGTCAATTATGCATGTCCATCCATATCTTTCTCATACTTTCAGAAAGAAAATGGTCTATTTGTAAAAATCAAAACATCGAAGATGAAACACATGTATTGTTCAATGCATTCTTGACAAACTTGAAATAAACATTTTCATAAACAAACTTAAAATTTATCAAAACAACAAAACGGACTAAGAAAAACGGGAATTAAAGATGAGAAAATACTAATTGAGTTATCAAAATATTTTCATAGTTGCTTTTTATGAATTCATTTCATGCGGTCGAGATGTCGATGTTAACATAAATAACACCACTTCTACCTCCTCAGCCAGTACCAGTTCAGATGAAAACGATTTACGAATAACACTCGCAGATATGCGTTGCATACTAATTACATGTACTGGATAATTTTGAACATAATAATCCGCGTTTTTTACCCACTAACGTAGGTACAATTGCTGAAGGTATTTTTCCTAGGTGTAACCTACCTACTGTGTGATATTTTCTGGTTGCAGTGGTTTGTTAGTGACATACCTATCAATGAAACAGATGGCTAGAAACAATGGTAAAATGAACTGGTTGGTGTATTACATTCATCGATATTGGAGAATAACATGGGTGTTGTTGTTTGTAATGTTGTTTTATACATACCTCATTCTACACATATTTGACGGACCATTGTATCAGTTGGCATATGAAGGAGGAAGAAAGAACTGCAAAGATTATTGGTGGACGAATATTCTGTATATAAACAACTTGTACCCTTTTCCTGGTGTTAACGGTCCAGTAAGTATAATGTGTATTTGGGACTGACAGTCGCACTTCAAAATTATGTGAAACTCACAGAATAAGCTTAAAACATAAAATATTATTTTGAATATTTTTAGAAAGGGCATTCAGTGAGTCCTGTCTAGTTTTAGTGAGGGCATTAAGTGAGTCTCGTTTACTTTTAGTAAGGGCATTCAGCGAGTCCTGTCTAGTTTTAGTGATGGCATTCAGTGGGTTCTGTCTAGTTTTATTGAGGGCATTAAGTGAGTCCTGTCTACTTTTAGTAAGGGCATTCAGCGAGTCCTGTCTAGTTTTATTGAAGGCATTCAGCGAGTCCTGTCTACTTTTATTGAGGGTATTCAGTGAATCCTGTCTACTTTTAGTGATGGCATTCAGTGGGTCCTGTCTAGTTTTAGTGAGGGCATTCAGTGAGTCCTGTCTACTTTCAGTAAGGGCATTCAGCGAGTCCTGTCTAGTTTTAGTGAGGGCATTCAGTGAGTCCTGTCTAGTTTTAATGAGGGCATTCAGTGAGTCTCGTCTACTTTTAGTGAGGGCATTCAGTGAGTCCTGTCTACTTTTAGTAAGGGCATTCAGCGAGTCCTGTCTAGTTTTAGTGAGGGCATTCAGTGAGTCCTGTCTAGTTTCATTGAGGGCATTCAGTGAGTCTCGTCTACTTTTAGTGAGGGCATTCAGCGACTCATGTCTAGTTTTAGTGAGGGCATTCAGTGAGTCTTGTCTACTTTTAGTGAGGGCATTCAGTGAGTCCTGTCTAGTTTTATTGAGGGCATTCAGTGAGTCTCGTCTACTTTTAGTAAGGGCATTCAGCGAGTCCTGTCTAGTTTTAGTGAGGGCATTCAGTGAGTCCTGTCTAGTTTTATTGACGACATTCAGTGAGTCCTGTCTAGTTTTATTGAGGGCATTCAGTGAGTCCTGTCTAGTTTTAGTGAGGGCATTCAGTGAGTCCTGTCTAGTTTTATTGACGACATTCAGTGAATTCTGTCTATTTTTAGTGAGGACTTTTAGTGAGTCCTGTCTACTTTTAGTGAGAACATTTAGTGAGTCCTGTCCACTTTTAGTGATGGCATTCAGTGAGTCCTGTCTACTTTTATTGAGGGCATTTAGTAAGTCCTGTCTAGTTGTATTGAGGACATTCAGTGAGTCCTGTCTAGTTGTATTGAGGACATTCAGTGAGTCCTGTCTAGTTTTATTGAGGGCATTCAGTCAGTCCTGTCTACTTTTAGTAAGGGCATTCAGCGAGTCCTGTCTACTTTTAGTGAGGGCATTCAGTGAGTTCTGTCTAGTTTTATTGAGGGCATTCAGTGAGTCTCGTCTACTTTTAGTAAGGGCATTCAGCGAGTGCTGTCTAGTTTTAGTGAGAGCATTCAGCGAGTCCTGTCTAGTTTTATTGAGGGCATTCAGTGAGTCTCGTCTACTTTTAGTAAGGGCATTCAGCGAGTCCTGTCTAGTTTTAGTGAGGGCATTCAGTGAGTCTTGTCTAGTTTTAGTGAGGGCATTCAGTGAGTCCTGTCTAGTTTTAGTGATGGCATTCAGTGAGTCTCGTCTACTTTTAGTGAGGGCATTCAGTGAGTCCTGTCTAGTTTTAGTGAGGGCATTCAGTGAGTCCTGTCTAGTTTTATTGACGACATTCAGTGAATCCTGTCTACTTTTAATGATGGCATTCAGTGAGTCCTGTCTATTTTTAGTGAGAACATTCAGTGAGTCCTGTCTATTTTTAGTGAGGACTTTTAGTGAGTCCTGTCTACTTTTAGTGAGAACATTTAGTGAGTCCTGTCCACTTTTAGTGATGGCATTCAGTGAGTCCTGTCTACTTTTAGTGATGGCATTTAGTGAGTCCTGTCTAGTTGTATTGAGGACATTCAGTGAGTCCTGTCTAGTTGTATTGAGGACATTCAGTGAGTCCTGTCTAGTTTATTGAGCGCATCTAGTGAGTCCTGCCTCGTTTTATTGAGGGTATTCACGCGAGTTCCGTCTACTTTTAG